ATAAAACAGCATATTATCTTAGGTTTCCCATGGAATAATTAACTGTTCTGTTATCTAAATCACTTCCGCTCCCACGATTTCTACGACAATTGTCCATCTATGGCCTTTTTGAATAACAATTTATTGCACATTTTCCCACAGTTGTACATAGTTGACCTACTGCACAGTTGATTGTTCAGCTTCATTCTTACAGAAATGTCTCAGAAGTTCAGCTGTAGGTTTACTACTTAGAAAACAGTGAGGGGTTGAGATTCACAAAATTGGGCCCTTGATAGCCTATGTATGCTGTATGAATTGTCCCTAGAATTGTAAACTGCCTTTTTAAAAGGTCCACTTGTTTAGATTTTAACATTTAGGTCCACCTTTTCAATTTAATACACATCAATAATTACTTTTGAGCGGAGTGAGCGAAGCTCTTAAAAATACGTCGACTCTTATGCATTTCGTAATACGCACACGAGGAGTGCTAGACAGCAAAACCAATTGTTTTCAAATTTTGCATGGTGCTAAAGACCATATCGGTGAGTGCTAAAAACGCATGGTATCAGCTGTTGAGTTTAATTAATTATTGTGACTGTTATCACGGATATTAGAACAGAAATGGTACGGATAATAAACAAACATAAAATTCTCTGTGTTTTTGACATAGGCTATTGTTCCTCTTCACTGAGAAACATTTTGTAACTATTTTATCACTCTAAAATGTATCTCTACACAATATTTTATCTATTGGCGTCTGCGAACGCCACCTAGTAACAAACCTGGGCTACCATGACCCAGCGACTTACATTCTATCTATATTAGGCCTAGTTCATAGAGAGCGACATGCATGGCAATAGGCCTACTGTGATTTCTAAAAATGATTTCTAATGCACAAAAATATTATTAGGCCTACACAATTCACCCAGCACATCAATTTTCTATTTAGTTTTCATTGGCCTACTTATGTCATAAATTACGCTAAGTAAAAGCGAAAATTCTTTATTGAAGAACTAAGTTGTAGCTCAACTTAAAAAATACACAGTTTGTGTTTTGGAATGTCTAAATCGGACCGGCTTCTCAAACCATAGGAGATAGGGTGAGACAGATTTTGAAAAAGGTCGATATTTTTCTTAACAAATACACAACAGTTTAAGATATAGATGGAGGGAAAAGTACGAATTTTGTAGTTAGCAAAAAGTGTTTTACAGGAAAATGTACGACACTTCTTAAAAACTGTTCTAATGGCTTTCTTTTATAGTAAAAAAAAACTCTTTTAGAATTTATACACTCATGTCCCCAAACTGCAACTGCATATGAAAGAAAAGGAAAAACCAGTTGTTAGTAAAGCCGGGTTTACACGCTACAATAAAACGTAACGATTTGTCTGCAACGACAAAACGTCCATGCAAGACGGAACGTGTAAACTGGAAGTCGTTACGTTTTGTCTGAGTTGGAGTGAGGTTGGAAGGTTGGTGGAAATTTCCACCAATTTCTGTAGATCATAGCGATTTTCTGTAGATCGTAGCGACAAGTCGTTGCGTGTAAACGATGACTCAGTCATCGTTGCAACCTGTAGACCCTCTGATGTCGCGTTGGTCCAGTTAACTGTTGTGTAAACTGTGTTGTAGGCCTACTGTTGTTTTAACCACTGTGGTACCTATATTTTTTGACTGTGTTGTGTAGTGTTTAGTTTATCTTTACTGTTTTTGTCACATTTGTCACTATGCCAGACATACGCCAAGCCTCTCGTGACTTTTTAATAGAGTTCATTGAACTATTACAAGAGTTTCCCTTGTTTGTGGCAAGTCAAACATAAGGACTAGTCTGACAGGAACAAGAAATACCTGGCCTATGTAGAATTAGTCAACAAATATAAAGAAAAGAAATCGACGTGTCTGCAGAAAGGGCAATTGTCGTAAAAAAAAATTTAACTCGTTTAGAACAGTGTACAAACAGTCAAATGAAACACAATTTAATACATCAAATATACAGGGAGCCTATAGGTCAATATAACTACCTACCTATATAACTAATTCGCAACAAGATACCTACATCAGGGGCCTATTTCATAATAAACTACAAGTTTGTACAACAAGTTGTACAACTTGTAACTTGTAATTTCCATTAGATTTGAATTGGGCGATCAGCTGATTTACTAATAATATTAGTTTGTACCATGGTGGGCCCCTGGTAGTGGTTTGAGAGCCCAAAGTTAGAGAAAAAGACGGAACGTGTAAATGGTCCGCTCAACCTATGACAAAACGTAACAATTAGTCGTTGCAGACAAGTCGTTATGTTTTATCGGAGCGTGTAAACCCGGCTTAAGCCATCACTAGAACTTTAGAGTCCAAAAATGTTGCCAAATTTCTTAATTAGAATATATTATAGTCCTCGCCACCCTAAGTTGAGGCAGCCAAAGGCCGCACTAGATATACGCCGTGCGGCTTTGGGCTGCCTCAGCTTAGGGTGGCGAGGACTATAGAACTTAATTTGTTACAAACATAATCTTAGTGGTGTATAAATTTCAACTGGATGTTGATGTGAACGCACAGGAACTTAGTTTCTGAACAGGACGGAATGAAATGATTGTTGTCTATGGAAATTGCCCAGGGGTGCCGTGTTTTCTTTGTTTCTGATATGAAATTCGATCATTTGAGTTTTGGCACTGTTTAAAAACAAGTTATTGCAGCTAAACCGTAATATTGAGCTGATTCGACCAATTGCTTTCATCCTGAGGTCGCGCACGCATGCTGCAGACAACGACAATGAGGTGTCACCAAGAAACAAAAATACCCTATGTGGGAAAATAAATGAGTAAATAACACTTTTCAGGGCTTTCTTCAACTTACTTATATTTTCACAACAACAAAAAAAGGAACCTTCTATCTCAACTTTTAAACATAATCCAACTCTCAAATTATCCGTCACCATGACAACTAAAAATAGCCAAAAACGTAAACATAAACAAACTATTAGTCAGCTGATGCTAGTTCACAACTACACCCTACCCTCAGATTCACGCACACAACTTGGCAGGTCATTAAAAAAAGGATGAATAAGACTGGACCAAGCACCGAGCCCTGGGGAACCCCTGCAAAGATTGCTAGGGGAAGTGAAAATGCAGATTTTGAACAGTTGTTGTCATCAATGAAAGGAATTTGAACTGCCTGAGTTCTGCCGGTCAGATTTTGATTCAGATAACAACAAAATAGGCTATTCAAACCATTTAACAAATTCTTTAATGATGATGATGGCAGTTAAATAAAGAGAAGTGATGAAATGTTTTACAAAAAGAAGGTAGCTTACCAACCAGTCCTAGGCCTAATATGAAAAATATATTATGCTAAGGTAAACTCTCTTTCACTGAGTTTAAACTTTAGGACAGAGCAGGGTTAACTTATAATCCGCTTTATATGAGCCTTCACTTAGTACTCAAACGTATGCTATGTATAAATGCATTAGGCCTATGAGAACTTCTTTTCTTGTTGTCTTAATGTTTTATAAAGATATACACTTTCACGATTGAATAAAGTAGAACCAAGCCTAACTTAGTTTGAAATACGGAATCATAAACATTTCCTGAATTTTAATACATGGGTCTAGGATACGTTATAATAGGCCTACAACACCAAGAATCCCACTCAATCAATGTAAGTTAAATCTTGGGACTGGGGAGGTGGTCCAGGGTTGTAAACAGTTACAGGCTAAGTTAGCCTAACTTAACTTATACTGGACCCAGATGTGATTTGACATTTAACCATCAATTAATCACACTATTAAGTAGTCTGTAGGCCTACCTGATAACAATATAAAAAAAAATGGATATGCAAAGGGCGTTTAAGCTTAGACCTAATAGCCTAATTTGTACCAAACAGGGCTATGCCTAATGCAAGAGAAAACTTGGATAAGTGTGGTCTTCCAATGGTAAAACTAAGGTAAATTACTGAGGTACAGAAGAACGAGTTTTATAAATTAACTAAGGTACAACGGTTTTTATGGAATTAACTTTAGAAAAGTGAAAAAGTTTACAACTAGTTGAAAGTGTCACTAACATAAAGTGGCATCTCTAGACAGGCATAACCTAACCACAACCGGTGAGTAGCACTACGACTTCATCGGAGAGCTTAGCATTAATTATAAAGAAAACATAAACACTTTGGTTGAAACATACCTAGAATAAGATAAAATCCACAGTAGCAATGTTTTAATGTAACTTCATTCAACACCAAATGCACTCAGACAGAATCAAAACATTGGAAACACCTGTTCAACCCAGAGAATTTTCCGACACTGCTGCCAACACTACAACATCCAAAGCACTAATCGATCCTTCCCCTCACCATAGTTGTTGAGAGGGGGATACTACGACTAGCAAACTCAATTTTTCCGGTGTTGTCACTGTACAAGCGATAGATTTATAAAAACTTAATATTTTATTACCTATTTTGGTCAAAATAACTTTACCAAATAGTTTATTTAGAGAAATGTGTATAATCTAAGAACTTTGAATTAAGCGCGGGGCAAAAAGTTAGCCAATGAAATCACAACACCAATCCCCTCTACCACAGTATGCGTACAGCTGTGTGTTCCTACTGGCAGTAGTGAGTGAAGTAGAGTTGCCAACATTGCATTCCCGAAATCACGAAGGATGGGTGAGTGAGTGATTCAATTCATATGTTATTTTCCCACGGAGTCGTGTGAGAAAGAGAAAGAACATCCGTTCCCTTCATTTGATGCAGTACAGTTCTTCACATTGCTTATCAAATTACTCTCCTTGTTTACTAAAAAAAATGGCCATCTAGTAATTAATTGATGACTGGAAACCAAAATGTTGGTCTTGCTTCTTGATGAATAATTTTTGTGTGAAAACTAATAACTGTTGGGGAAACTGACTGAAATAAGGGTAAATGTTATTGTTGAGTTGAACGTTGAACCGAACCGGCCTTGAGAAGAGAATTAAAGTAGTTGCAAGTTGCACCATTTTAACTTGACTTGTCACTTTTCTTTTCTTATGTCATGTCAGAGTCAGATTGTTGTCCTGAGAATTTGCGTGTGTGTGTTTCGTGATGAGTTAATTTTGGTTTAACCTAACAATATCGATTTGCGCCTGGATTAATTTATTTACATTTTTACCAAATTAATGAAACTCTAACCTATAGCTTATGTCACAATATTGTGTCAGTCTGTGAGTGAAGTGTTTTAAGAGGTTAGGTAAACAATATTTGAGGTTATGATTTCTTTTGAAATAGGACTTGAACTTATCAGTTTTTCCAAAATATTGCAATGGGTGTTCATGGACTATGGAAACTAATAGAGCCCTCTGGAAAGCCAGTTCCAGTTGAATCGCTTGAAAATAAAGTTTTGGCTGTTGGTATCCTTTTAAGTGAAGACCTAGTGAAGTAAATTATGATTTATTTAAGTAGGGCTAGCTGGCAAAGCTTTGATCTCCAATTCCATTGGATTATTGAACAAAAAGAGCTCACTATCGATTCAATCGATAACCACACTTTAAAGAACTAAGTTAGGGCCTAACAAAACCCAAACTTTCTATAAACTTAGGCCGTTACGCCTAACTTATCGATTGCAACAACCGTTACTTATGGCTCTGGGGAGTGGGCATTTCCACTTTTCCATTGATTCAACAATCAATGATAAGTTAATTTAGGCTTGCTTTAATTCGATGGAGTCGAATATAACATCAAATAAAATTCTGTTTTAGGTATTTCAAAAATTGTTTTACTTAATAGGCCTATATCTACTTACATTTTAAATACCTACAAAAAATAAGTCCCGCATCAAAGTTTTGCCAAGTAAGTTAGAATAAATTAGATTAGGATAAGTCATTTGCGCCAGAGACATTACGTGGACATGTCCTCAACTAATGCTTGTTAACTTAGTGAATGTGACCCAAACGTAGAGGTAGATAACCTAGGCTACACATAAAGCACTAACTTATTTTTTAAAGAACAGCATAGTACACATGATGTTCCCGTTTCCCTGAAGCCCTATTATGTAAGTTAGTCATTGTGGTTTAGCATTGGGTCAAAACCTAGGATAAGATCCTAACCACTACACTATGGTTTGGTTTGATCAATAACAACCTGTGATAAGTTAGGTACGCTACTATAATAGAAGACGTGGTTTCACTGAGGGATATAAGGTACTCAACAGGGTATTTGCTTATTGGGTCTGATGATTATTGTAGTGTCCAATCATAATCTATCACCACTTACCAGTCGATCTATTTAGGCCTATCATAAGTTAAGTTATGTATTTACAGTCTTGTGAGTCAACAGTTTAAGTTTAAATATTGTACGGTATATGGTAAAAAGTGTTATTAAACTTATTGATTTATTTTCCAATAGCCTAAGTCGATTGACAACACAGTAGGTCCAGGAATAGCCTATCCAATGTATTTTCTGATCAAAGAACTTCTGTAGCTGTGCTTGGGTGAATGAATGTTTTATGCATTTAACTGTGTAGATATCATTCTTCAATTGCATAAACTGTATTTAAACCTACCTACTTGTTTTAAGTTATATTAATTAATTTATAATAGTGGCCCAATGTTTTCAAGATAGGCCTAACCTAAATCTTTTAGACCTATTGATTTTAATGCAGTTTAGGCCTACTTGATTTTTCTAATATAACTGAACGGTCCATTGATAAAATACAATGGGTTGTAGCTGTACTTTTTAACGTTTTAGGCCTACTTTTTTCTATCAACCGCTTTGATTGTTTTCTTCTGAGTCAAACAGTGAATGGTATTTAGTCAATTAACTGATAACCATAATACCCATGCGGTGCACATTGTATGCACACGACCAAAACAATAACCCCCCTGTCGAGAAAATCCTGTTTTATCCCGCTTTTGAATAATTAAATACCTTGTTTTATCTCACATGATTTTTTTCAATCCCTAAATGTTAATATTTGACGTACTGAATGTTTAAATAGTGCTATTATATCGTTCTACAGTAATTTAATCAATTGTGGTTGGTTTTTCTCTAAAATTAACAGAGTGAGTGTTGATACACTAAAGGAGCCTCATATTTCTGCTCTCCCATCGTTTTTACTGGTAAGTTTGGTAAACAGAATCTTCTATTTTTTTTTATGTAGCATATCATTACACTTCATATCCACTATAATTGTTTAAATTTTGTTTGAACCTCAAACAAACAGTACAGTCACTTATTTTTTCCCCAAGGCCTTCAAAATAAATTTGGACTACAATTTAAAAGGTACCGGTAGCTTATTCCACTCTCAAAATTCTTAACTTTTAAACCCTGAATTCTTTTATATAGGTAGCGTATTTAATTTTTTTTAACTTCGAAATTCAGAGGAGAAAGCGAGCTAGAAGTTTAATAATGAGCAATAACCCTTTTAATTTTAAGCCTAATTTTAATTTTTCATTTAAAAATAAAAAATTGTTAATGTTTTACTATTACAATTAGATAGGAGATAGCAAAGTAAAAAGCACAATTTTAAACTTTGCAATTTAGTAAAATCTTATTGAAGTTTTTCATATTATTAACTAGTTACCATTAAAAGCACTATGTAAACATTTCTGTAATTACATATTGATTGCTAAGACATCTCCACAGGTGCCACCAAACATCCAATCCATTTAAAATTTAAATCCCCAATGTTTTCCCATGGTTGTGGACATTTAAAAATTAAAAACCTCTGTTTACACTCTCCCCTATGTCACGCATGAGGGACTTTCTTGGAGGATGTAGGCATTTTAAATATTTATCAGGTTAATTATTACTAATTGGCATTCATAATGAGTTTGGATGGCAAGCTTGAGTAATTATACAGGGTGCACCACAATGGGTTGTGGGAGCAATTTGAGTTGTAACTGTGGGAGCCAACCACAAGCATTTCCTGAGCTTCCTCTATGGTTCCCACCACAGCTGTTCCCACATTTATAATGCTATCACCATGTGATTATTGCTCTCCATTCAACAACATAACTGGACCAATGTTTTCATGTTTCCTTGCTGTTTTGTAGCTTGAGGTTTCGACATTGTGTGGAAAGTCTGGTCTGCAATTAGATGATTGATGTAGAAATATAACAATAACTTTATTAAGAAACTTATAACTTTAACTTTCCCAGACTGCCTATATACCGTAGGCTGTCTATATAGGTTGTAGGCTATATACGACAGCAAAATAATTTTATTTAAATAAAAAATATATTTTTTATATGTATAGTTTATAGAATGTTGTAAACAGTTGACTTACACTTTTGTCCGAAATAATTTTCTTTTATACTTTTTAAATATTTATTTTAATTTTTACATTTTATTTTTACTAAATTTCTTCCGCCCATATTCCGGGAAGGGTCAAGAGTTGGTAAGATAAGAAAATTTGTGGGGATTTAAATTTTTATCTAGTTGAATTGTTTTGTTCTGAGGTATTTCCTTTAAATTAATACATTCCCTCTTCAGTTACTGAATTAAACACATTCCATAATTTTAAGTTTCATTAACAATACCAGTAGCCTAACCTACTCAATAAAATAAAAAAATAAAAAATAAAAAAAACATTAGGTATATGCAGTGTTATAAGAAAATGAATTGACTCTTCTAGTATTGAAACAACTGAAATACAGTAAGCTGTAGATAAAAAACACATTTTCCTGTTTTTTAAACATTGTCTTTTTTATGTATAGCCTAAAATTAAAATTACATTGTCAAATTTTGAAGAAAAATGTTACAGTAGCTGGTTATAATCGTTCATCAATGCCTCAACAATCCCTATTAAAAAAATCAAATGATGACTGGAGCCTGATGGCATCCTTAGATAAATATATATTTTTTTTAAATAAATACAATACTATATATTTTTTGGCCAGAGAGTTCCATAAATTTTCTATGGCCAAGCCTCCATTCATCGACGGTGTTCCATTGGTTCTCTTTAACCTTGCAAGGAAATCACGGTAGACAACTGTTAATACTGTTCGATAAAATGGCGACCATACATAGTAGGTATTTTAAACAGTATCGCCAAGACCACCAAAACACAGGTGTTTACGCAATTGCTGGAGAAGATCATCGGTGTTTGCTCTTTTCATTAGCCTATGCTGGATTTCAGCAGACCGGAAAAAAATCTTCTTGCAGGCCAGGCCTGCAAGCCGTAGTTTGGACACCCCTGATGTAGTTAAACAAACTCTAATACAAAATATAAATATATTTCATACGGTGTATACCTTAACCAGTAGCCAGACGTGTCAATATGGTTACATCAGCTGATGAAGGGCTACCAAACACCAGCTGGGGCGAGTGTCTCCAACGCATACCTGCTTGGACTCTTCAGCCGAGTCTGCAAACTGCTCTTCACCAATGTCAAACCTGTCTTTGTCTTCGACGGAGGTGTTCCACAGCTCAAAAAGAAAACCATTGTAAGTATGCAAACCACCCACAGATCTCTTTGTGTGTATAAGAATTTTTATTTGTCATGACAGCCGCAGATCTGAGAGATTCATAGTCACAACTTGGCTGTAATTCGTTTATCTTTGTTATAGGCCTACCTTGTTCCTTTTTCACCTTTTAGTACCTTACTAGTTTTGAGACATCCAGTCCGCTATCTGAAAACTTCTTGTATTTCCTTAAAAATCAATTTAGATTATTCCCTATATGCCTTCACCTAACGCCTTGTGGTACAACCTGTCTAATTGTAATGTTTTGCTAACTTTTAAATGGTTGTTTTTTCTTCTTGATAGCAATAAACTCTGTGATATTAGTTTTAGACCTATTAAATAACTTAAAATGCAATTTTTTTCTTCGTAGACTTCAAAGTACACTTTGTAACACACTTCTCAATTTGACAACTGCTCTGCATGAAAAATTTTTGACTCTTCCAATACATTTGTAATATGTCTTCTGGAAATAAACATGTCTTATGGGAAATTTGCTATAATGCCTAATAAGCCTTTAAATTGAAAAAAATCCTCCCCAGATATCGTCCTTGGATTAGTATAGTTTTATCAATAATTGTGGTTGGTACACTATAGTACTCCGTTCGTATTCAGATTTTTAATTTACTATGGGATATATCACTATGAAAGCTATAGAAAATATATACTGGTATCCTTTATATTTTAGTTAACATTAAAGTGTAAAGTTTTTCCGACATGCCGGGACTGTTCTTTCTAAAAATTATTGATTAAACAAAAATACCTTTAACACGTTCGCTACTGAGCGTCGCATATATGCGACGCCGCGGTCATTGCCACAGACCGAGGTATACATTTGAATCTTACACATAGACCGACTGTCACTTGGATAACAGTACACACAGACCACGGGCGAAAACCTGTAAAACAGCGATCATTTACATTGTAATACGCTACAATGGTGTTTGTAAATAAATTATTCTTGTTTATTTGTATTTTTTATAACCTTTTGTAATGTCGCATATTTGCGACGCCCGGTCTACAGCGAAGACAATAATGAAAATTATCATAGTTTTCTTGAAATAGACTAAACGTCGCATATGCGACGGTTAATTTTTTGTGTTTTAAGGTGAAATTAAGTAAAGAAATAAACAGGTTATTCAAGAACAGTTTATAACTGAACAAATATAAAAGCTACATAGGATAATGCAGCATAAATACTGCATACATACATACAGTGATGCAGAAAAGTAAAGACCAGTTTTTCCAACTATTATATGATCATATCCACAGACCAAGCGACGCAGTTGTGCGTCAGACATCTCTGTAGACCACTGCAGGGAATTCAGTGCCTTCAAATAGACCACTACAGAGATACAAGCATTTTAATAACATTAGAACCCCGACGCAAATATGCGTCGGCAGTCTATTTTAATGTGACTAGCCGTCGCATATATGCGACGGCAGTCCATGGGTGGAAACCGGCCGTCGCATATGTGCGTCGCTGGTCCATGTGAATGGAAAATTTCGTACTATTGCAGTAGCGAACGTGTTAAACAATTAGTAAGATAAACAAATTAAATGCAGCCAAATCGACCATGTAATTTGGTAAAAAAATCAATTCTATCAGCACTATTTTCAAATCCTTATTCATTTATATCATAAATTTCTTGACATGTATTTTTTTCAGTACAAAAATTAAAAATACTTTAGTCAAACTTATATTTTAACATCAACAAACAAACAATCGATAATCATGATATGTAAAAAGTATATTGCATTCAGACTACTGTAGCAATATAACTGTTTTGTATCACGCTTTCTATTTGCTGCACCGAAGGTGTGACAAATCCTGTGAAGAGGCGTGATATTGATCTTCGTTCCTGCTTTGTACTCTGTGCATTATTTATTTCCTAATTCTCATGCTCTGTGTAAACTGCTTGTTCACTATCTGAGTGATATTTTCACACATTGCAAAGCCTGGTCTTTAAATATGTCTGAGAATAGGCCTACCTAAATGTAGAAGGGCAGTGATAGTGTCATATATAGTTGTTGGTTTCACTTTTTTGAATATTGTATTTTTATGTTGAGCAATTATATCCCTTATACTGAATATTTAACTATAAAAATGTGTATCTCATTTTTTGGAGTCCATCTTGTATAAGTTGAGAATTTAAAACAACTAGAAAACTACTTTAACTGGGCATTACTTTGGAGACCCAGCAGGAGCAAGTAAACTTAGTCTGGACTAAGCTTTTTAAATTTAATCTCAATTATTTGTGAGAATGATCTAATTAACCTATGAACCAAAGATTTTTTTATTAACAGATTTTATCGTGATTACAAAAATATATAAAGCCAAGAAGAGAATTATATAAGTAAATGAAATAATTAATGAACAATTTTTAATGTTTGCGTACATTAGGAATTTTTAACTGATAGATTGACATGCTACATGCTGCCATTCTTTGAATTTTGAAATACTTATAAATTTGCTTATATCCCTTTTGTGACGCTTAGCGCCACTATTTTATATAGTGCCACACAACGAAATCGCCTGCCTTTCCAATCAGCTTGCCTCTTTCGGACTGCCGCTTGCTTTTCCGAGAAACGGTCAAGGAGCTACAGAATCGAGATTTCCTCCGTCTTGTCTCTCGGCGCCGTTTGTAGGATTAGCTGCCTTCTTCCCTTTTCTCATCTCACCGAACTTCATGCCAACTTAGAAAATAAGATAAATTAAACACAATCTTCATTAAATTCTCTAACAAAATCAATCCAATTACGGTCAATGGTATATTTTCAGTTTTCCTTAGCGAAAGTAGGCTAATTGTTTTATCCTGTTACACTGTTCAAAGTTGTATGAAGGAAGGCAGATTGTCTATGTCCATCTGGAAATTTTACATAAAAATCGATTAATTGAATTAATCATAATATCATGTTGTTTTCCAATCTCAAATAAGACACAAGCAAAAATCACATGAGTATACTGGGAATCGGTGCAATGCCGGGTGTGGGTTTCCCCAGCATTCCTGGTCTTGCATGTTTTGGCTCACCCGCGACCATGAAGGCCGGGTGTCGGGTGACTCGAGACCCGTCTGTCCCAGTTCGGGTTACAAGCTGCATTCCACTGATCATTCATCCAAGGCGATGAAATGTCATTCATTTCATACATGTATGGTATTTGTGAATGGAGATTGTAGAATCTAATAATCCAGAGTTATTGGTCGTTAATATATACCAGTATATTGTTTTTTGTTGTTTAAAATATTTTTGGTAGTACTTTATTAAATACAATGTATTAATCGCTTTTGTTACTTTTTCTTATTTCCAAGTAAAAGTTCAGGTTAAGGCAGTTTAAGCAGCAGATGAGAGTGTTGTTCAATATAGTAACATACCCTGTATATTTATATTTCTTCATATTATACTCTGTATATATCTTCTCTATATGAATTTAAAACAGATGGTGTTTTTTGACGCTGTAGTAGACATGAAAACTAAAAGGTCTAGGTGTTGCCATGAGACCTAATGGTAATAGCCTATTCCTCTAATGGGAAATTTGCTAATATATGGAAAAATTACTAAAACCAAGACAGAAGCTGTGTTTTAGTACACCCTATGCTCTCCTAGAGCCTATGCTCATTCAACTATTTTCTTTAAATACAACACTAGTAAAATGTTAGATTATATGGAAGAGACATCTCTATTTCACTATATTTAGTTCACGATGAATCAATCTCAGTTTCTTTGTAGGCTTTAAAATCACCTCAAAAGTAGTTCATCCATTTCCCCCTGAACCCCCATTTCCCCATTTCAGCTATCATTGAAATTTGAATACCATTTTGACATTGGTAAAAATAAAATGCATTTTAATAATCTTGCAATATAGCGAAAAGACAAGACTACCCATTGTCAATTTATCAGGTTCAGGTACCACAATGAATTGTTGATTCCGGGTGCGTTGATGTGTGTAACTTGCAATGCACCCGGTTGTTCCACCCGAACGCACCCGAGCTGTGGGATTGTGCCGCCAAATCGTTCCCAATCACCCGTGTGGATCAGTGGCACAAAAAATCCTCCAGGTCATGGACCCATTGGTACGTTTCACACTACTTCTCACGGTAGTCCTTATCCTCGAGTTGTGTGGAAATACTTTTTACGCCAGTATTTAACTGTGTGAAGGAAATGGTTTGCCAACAATAGTGGTAGAACTGCTAGTCAGACATGTTTAGTCATGACTTCTCTACAAAAGGTAACAGACAGTGTTGATATGGTACGAGACATGGAAATAATGATCTATTCTAAAGTTGATGAAAAAAACAAATAATTAAAATTGTAAATGTAAAGGAATATGAATATCTTAATTTATTATGAGTAAAAACTATGCTGGAACTGAATAAAATAAAATTATAAGTTTTTTTTACCACTTGACTATTTACTGTACAAAAGTATTTGTGTGTGAGTTTACATTAATTAATTAATGTTGGTTTTTATTTAAATCAGTAATAAATCTAATATCAGCAACAAGAGAGTAAAATGTATGTCTTTCTTTAAATCAGGCCATTTTGATCCACTTTAATGGTGCCTTAAAATTTAGTGATGTGTCAAAACTAAATCTGAAATTTCAAACCACCAAAACTTTTCGGGATTCAACCAGCGAGTTTCGAGATTTAAAACTCAAAACTGAAGCTGCAGACATTTTTTAACTATTTGGCCACAAATTTTTTTCACAAAATAAGTGTTAATTGATCTCATTATCATATCACTGTTTGCTGTTTAATTGATTTTTTTTCTTTTCTTAAAGTTAATACTTAATGCCTAGTCACATATTCTTGTTATTATGTTAGTCAGATTTCTTTCAGTTTTGATTGTACATGAAACATTTTATTATTATCTGTATTTTTTGCAACCTTAATTAGGCGAGTAAAAACGTATACCATTTAGGTTTTGAGATTCGGGATTTCTCGTTTAACCATTACTACTACTTAAAATTTAGTGTTTGAAGAAGGATGTGAATAAGGCAAGCATATCTATTCACTGTGAGCAATAGTTACCTACTGTACTACAATAAGCTGTGTCAGAAACTGACCCCTCTCATACTTTCCCCCCCTTTAAAAAATCCATTTCAAATATACTTCTTGTTAGATTTGCTCTGAAAACCATATTTTTTATTACAAAGAAAAAGAGATATGTATTGAACAATTATAATATTCACCCACCTTGAGTGTGGGTGAGTCTGATTCTTCCAAAAAGGGATAAAATATCAAAACATAGCAAACACTTATTTCTTTTTAATCAAACATAATTTTAGGACAACAAGTTTAATAAGGAAATAGGGAAATAGAAATTCAAGTATCTGCAAAAACATTGTGATAAATTAAAATAATTATTTGGAGACAGTCCATTTCCAACATAGAGAGAATAAAATTGTGATTTTGAGTTTAACACCTTCAAAACATAGACTTAAAAATGTCTTCAGATTCTATTTCTCAGTTATATGGCTTTAGGAACTCATTTTAAATTTCTTCCAGGCTGCGAGACAACAGCAGAAAAGCAAGTCGGTCCAGGCGTCGGAAAAGTTGAGAGAGCAGCTTTTGAAGAACTTGTTGAAACAGAAAGCTGTCAGCCAAGTGTTGGAGGAAATCAGAGGACAGACAAGTCCGAAGAAAAAGGCTCCAGACATGTTCGAACTGCCTCCCTTACCCCAAGAAGATTCTGCGTAAGTAGTGATGTGGGCCGGGTAAATACCCAGTGGGTAGGTAAATATAAATTGGGTTTTTACCCGGGTATTTACCCCAGGCCCGGGTAAATACCCAAAAACTGGGTATTTATAATTTTTATTAAAGATAGAGAAGATTTAGATGTTTTTTTGCAATTATTACCTTGCAAGGATAGATTTTACTGATGACAAAATACAAGGATGATAAAATGTGTTAAACAAAATTTCATATGGTCACTACTGGCACTTTACTTCTGGTTATAATCGGCATAAATGCCCTGGTCGCATGGTTGTTGCAATGGTCCTGACTACTTATGATTTTTTAATTTCTATGATAGATAGATGAATTTATTTGATTGAAAGTGAAAAAAAATAATTTGCAAAGTATACCTAATAATTATTATTTAGAAAGACAGGAAAATTTAACCTAGAAGTAGCCTATGTGTAAACAACTTAAGAAAAATTTTTAAAATTCAATCTGTAGGATGGCAGGATTTAATATTTTTGTTCTAAATCTTTTGTTGGTATCAATGGTATCAAAAAAAAAAAAAAACTAATTTCATAAACTTGTGATACAAAACATTGGAATCTATAGCACAATAAATCTTTCAAAATTATATTAGGTTCAACCAAAAAACATGAGATACGTTTTTTTAGTAGGTTTATCCAAATATATTATTGTTTCCAACCAAGCGGTAACACAGAAAAGTTTAATGAAGCCTACTTAAAAGTATTCTATCATTCTGCCTAGATGTCAAATAGGCCTTAGGTCTGTCTAGCCTTCCAAACCATTTATACAATAAAAATTTTGCATCATAAGTACCCAACAATTCCTGGATATTTATAAATTAAAATAATTTTGTTTAGGCTATGTTATTTAATTGGTTATAAATTTATGAAATTATAAAAATTGAAATAGCCACAGCCTTTTTTAATATATATACTATTTTTTAGTGAGTTCAATTTAACTGATGTTACTCGATTTAAGACACAAAACCCCATGCTTATTTAGAAACTTTATGTATTATTAAAAAAAATGCTAAATCATTAAGCGAGCAAAGCTTCAAGTTACTGTAAAAGGTGTTATTGACTATCCTAATTTATCATGTAATAACAATAACATATTTAGGGGTAAATATAAATGAATTTCAATTGATTTTATAAATACCCAAAATACCCGGGTATTGATGGATTTTGGGTATTTACCCGGGTAAATACCCAGGGTATTTACCCCGAGTTTTAAATACCTGGGTATTTCATCACTATGCGTAAGTCTGGTTGTTGGAGTGATTCAAGGTCCAAAGAAGTGTTTTTGATCAATTCAATTAAATTTTTCATTTTAATTTGGTATAGTTGGCTGTATTATTACTTTGGTTTTTCTGCTATTTCTTAAAAATATTATGTTTGAGCGGCCTACTAAAAAAAGTTTTATTAGCAGTTCAACTACGTTAATGGTACAGTATTTCAATTGTATTTCTTTGGCCCCTTGATATTTAAAATATTACAGTAGTTGCACAAGCATTTGGTATACCTCACTTTAAAAAAGTATGAACATGTACCAATGGAAAATGTTACATAGTTTTGATAATCCAAGATCCTATCGAGTGGTCAACAAGAAGTTTCGATTACTGAGGGATTTTGCAATATTAGCTGAGAATCAGTTAAACATCGTCAGAATAAAAATTTTGCTGCAATGTGAATATTTATACATGTGAATATTTACACTATTAATTAATATTGTCACTACGTCTTGTTATTATGATTTGTATGCATCTTGTTTCTCATTTCAGTATTATGCCTTTTGCACGTTACCTGTCCTCTTGCATGTCTTCTTGTAATGCTAGCTTCTTTTTGTTCATATAGTCCACTTGCTACTTATTTTTGTACGCTATATTTAGTAGTATTATCATTCGTATGCATCTTGTGTCCAAGTATTGTATTTAGTATTTATTATTGCTTGTTATCTCTTGAATGTAATGGTATTTATTGTACAATGGCTTTAAGTCCAAAATACTGCAACTGTTAAGACTATTTCAGTGTTTGTGTTTGGATTTCAAGTTTCCCTTAGTTTTAGATATTCACCTGGTCTGATTCATGGGTCATGTTAGATCAGAAGTGGAAGAGATGTCGGAGAGTTCGGAAGAGGATGTGAAGCCAGTGAAGATGAAGTACAAGGACCTGCACTGTGTTGATGTCAAGAGTGCAGAGTTCAGAAGTCTTCCTGCAGACATGAGACATGACATCCTCACTGAACTGAAGGAGACGAGGAAGCAGAGCTCGTGGGGCCGCATACATGAGATGCCCGAGGTAGATAACTGCCTTTGACTATAAAGAGAAAACTTTCCTTTCCAGTTTTTTTTGTTTTTTTTTTGACAGTTATAGCCAGTTTTAGTATAAAAATAAACGGTACCAGCAATCTGACACATACTTTCTCACATTAGCTTCAGCTTGTCAACAAACTTTATCATGGGTAAGCGGTGGAAGTAACTATGATATTTTATAGGGAGAATCACTCATCTTATGTAAAATTGCTCCAAACTTTTTGATCAAAAGATCAGACTGGCAACCTTTTTTATTACTAAGAGAGCTCTCTAAACCACTCAGCTATTACTGAAGACAGCTTGTGCTGAAATACGTATATTCAATATAAATCTGCAGTATAATGTTTTGCTTCTCCGTTAGAATTGTTGAGCTCATAGTCAATTTGTTTTAATTAAAGATCCAATTGGACTAATTGGATTGTTTTGTTTGTATACTATTTTTATTGAAATTTCAGGAGTCAACTGATTTCTCAAAATACCAGATGTCCCGTCTGTTGAAGCGGCGCTCAGTTCAAGTGTCTTTGGAGGAGGCCGAGAAGGAGATGGGAGGCCGCACTTTGAGTTTGCACGATGTAGAAGCGCTGATGGCTGAGGGAGGGATCGAAATAAACCCGCAACTGGGCAAAAGGATTGCATCTGACGATGTCACTAGGTTTATATACGTTAGAGGTTAGTGTTAAATATATATTTTTTTATTGTTATATTAATGATTTGTTTGATGCATACCTAAAAGAGAAACTTAAAGTTGCATTTGTATGTAAATACATTATGTATTTCTAATTCATAAAATTGATTACAGAAAGTGACAAGCAGTCCCAAATTCCTACTGGGGAGAATAGTACACAATCTGAGAATATCAGAAAAGAAGAAAACTCCCAAGAGCCAAAGAGTGTATCAAATGTGAAGATCAAAGAGGAGATTATAAGCAGTGATGAACTTTCTGATTCTGAAATATTGAAGGAAGTAGAAGCAATTGAAACTATACATAGGATAAAGGAAGAAACTGAAAACGTTGCTAATAGAGAAGAAAATAATGAATTCGCAACTGAAGACATCTTTGAAAATGACTCCAGTTCAGAAGAAACGTTTTTAAACGATGTAAACGTAATTTTGAAAGAAAACCGAGGTCTTTCTCAAGAACAAATTTTAGCAATTATCAGAGATCAGAATAGAGACAAGATAAATCAGATTGATCCCAACGCACCATCTACAAGTAAAGAGGGAATTTCAACAGAAGAAGGTTCGTCAGCGCAAGATTTAGAAGTGGAAGATAAAACTGCTTCGAAAAATTCAGCATCTACAACTAACCCTCAAGAGAAAGCTTCAGACATGCTCTATTTCAAGATGATGGATAGAATGTACGGTTTCAAGAATAAAATGAAAAAAGGTAAAAATTCATCGGCCAAAAGAGGAGCAAAAGTTAATAAAAGTTTTGTTCCAAATCTTGCTACTGGTAAACGAAGGCCGTCAGATTCAAAACCTGCAGACTTATCTTCTTTAGCATCAAATACCAGTGATTCTGATAGAGATTCTGATCATAATTTGCCTTGTAATGTCTCGAAGATGGTATCACCAAACATGGCGAGTATTTCTCTCTTTAAGAAAAGACCAGAAAGTAAACTTAACACGGTTGAAGAACACACGGCTACAAACGGAGCAAACAAAGTCGCAGAGTTATCATCTAGTGAATCAGATAATGACTTCGTTGAAGTTAGTCCATCTAAACAAATGGACGAGAGTGTCAACGATACTAAAGAAACTGTTGCTGGGATATCTATTGAAATTCAGCCAAATACGGGTCCTATTGAAAATGACATTTTTGCAGACATATTTTCACAAGAGAATAAAGAACCTGTTAGTTTGGAGAAGAAAATGAATTATAGAATCCTGATTGAAGAACCAACAGAGTTACAAATCAAAATAAATCCTACTAAAAGTTCTATTGATGATGATATATTTGTTGATGTACTTACCGAAAATAAAAGCCGTAACAAGGCAAATATGGACTTTAAAAATGTGGATAAAATAGATAATAAAAGCATTGGTGGTACAAATGTTGATACTCTTAGTATTACACAGAAGAAAAGTAACCAAGAAAATATACGTGAGAAGAACAGTGAATCAGAAGAATCCTCAGATGATATGTTACCCGTTACCGAAGATCAGGAGGTTGCATCAAAAGCTGAGGAAGAAACTGCATTGCCTGATAAATCAACAGAATACAAAGATGACAACCAAAGTGAAACCCAGGACAAAGGAGAGAAAGAAAAGGACAACTCATTAACTTTTCCTAGTGACAATCCCCAAGAGTTAGAAGATAGCGAAGTGGTCGATGATCCAGCCCCGAGAGAAGAAACGCCTTCTACTAGTGTTGAAAAACCAAAGAGGAAATTAAATATGAAACAGTTAGAAAAGTTACAGGTAATTTTGGTTAATCAATCTTTTGTAATTCCTAAATATTTTCTATTCAGTAAACCTACCAAAGTAACACATATAATGCAATCTGTATTGTTTAATTACTTATAAACAGATATATATAGGGGTTTATTGACCTTTATCTCCTGTGATTTATTTTGTAAGCCTCTATTTCTGTATGAGAACATTGCTATTTAGTTACTATTGGTGTGTTATAGGTCCTGATATCGCCAAAGTATACTCCTAATTTTAGAACAAACTCTAATTTTTTGTTCGTTGCATTTTGCAGGAAATTTTGGAGACAAAGGAACAAGAAATAGTGTTAGACCAAAACAAAGAAGACCGCATGGCCACTTCTATGACTGATCAAATGTATCAAGAAGCTCAGGTAACTCTTGTTGTTTGGATCAAACAAAGTTTTATAAATTAAAGCTGCACATTTTCACTAACGCCCCATTCTGATGTTTTGTTGTTTGTAACTGTCTCGTCTCATTATTGTGTCTGTTAGAGTAGTTGCAGGATTGTGACTGACTTGTCAATAACCTAACCAAGCGTACTTCTGAAATGTTGCTCATGTGCCAGTTATTAAAACTTTAATTCTTTTTCTGCAGGAGTTGTTACGGTTATTTGGAGTGCCGTATGTGGTAGCCCCTATGGAGGCAGAGGCTCAGTGTGCATTCATGGACCTGATGGGACTCACGCAAGGCTCCATCACAGACGACAGTGACATTTGGCTCTTCGGCGGCCGAACTGTCTACAAGAACTTCTTCGACCAGAAGAAGTTTGTGCTGGAGTTTAAAGCAGACAATATTAACCACTTTTTCAGTAAGTTGCTTTGCAGTTAGGCCTACAATTTTGTAATAAAATACTTGGAAACTTTCAGTAATGTTTTTGTGTTTGGATAGATTAGTTTTAAACTGCAGAATCACTGCAAAATTGTAGGATTAAACTACAAGATATATAGCTATTGGTGTAGCAACAGTGAAACTGGCTGCTTTAGCGAGCAAGAATAGGAAGTGGGAATGAGCTATTTTGCGTATTGTTCACAGGTGTGGCAATGTAAACATTTCCATGCAGTGGTAGGAAAAAATGTTATAAGTTTTCAAGCTTGCTCCATATCAGCTGCTTTTTGTGTTACTTTCGAAGTTTCTTTTCTCTGTCTTTTCCTTAAGATGACCTGGAAGTAGGTTAAAGCCTGCTTCCAGTGTAGCTGGATTTCTCTTTGTTTAGCTTAGAATGGTGAATCAGTAGCAGGACTTTGTTACCATTTGTTGTTGTACAAGTGAATTTCTCCTAGTCTTGAGATTGTGAGACTTAACATAGGAGGGTAGCCGTACTTCAGGGTATAACGGCACAGTAAGTATTTTCAGTACAGGAAAAGGGAAAGATTTTCCTTTGGTTATATAAAAAAACTCAAATAAACCATGCGATGTTCCAGAACTGAACCGTAACGGCCTTGTGTTGCTGGCATTGCTGGTCGGGTCAGACTACACGGAAGGCTTGGCGGGGGTTGGCCCCGTCACTGCCCTGGAGATACTGTCCACCTTCCCCCCGCCACAGGGGAACACCCGGGATTGTGGGGAGTTGCTGGCCAGTCTGTTGCAGTTCAAGCGGTGGTGGGAGTCATCAGCACCTGGACATCAGCAGCTGGCCAAGAAACTGCGGAACATTGATCTGCACCAGGGTAAGTGGTGCATCTAGGTATTCTATTACTAACTCATCAGTAAGTAGGGCCTACCACAGAAGGGTGAAGTTTCAAGTTTGTTTACTGTTTTGAGTTGAATGGTGGTTTGAATTGGTGGCCAATGAAGCTTATATTAGTGATTGACCAAGCAATCATCTTATTCATCTAACACCCCTCCTTCACTTGACTCCACCATGAAAACTTACACATTTAATGTGTTCACCATAGGTAAATTTTAATATAGTCTAGGAATATAATCTAAACTTTGGCTAGTTTTCTTTCTTTTACAAATAATGTTTGAAAATTTAAATTCAGTACATTGTTTTGAACATTTGAATACTTTTAAAAAGTCTATGAAACCTATTTTGACACTATAAGGTGTAGGGAAGGACGGGATTGAATTTTTAGTTCGGGTCGGGACGGGACGGGATTTTTATTTCCTTCCCGATTTTCGGGACGGGACGGGACGGGATTTTTTCCTGTGCATGAAAAGAAAGTTTTGAGTATTGCAGTTACCAAACAAGACAAAAAAATCAATATTTACCATTTATGGTACTGATCTACAAAAACAAGAAAATGGGTAGGCCTAAAAAGGTATAAAGGTATATATAAAGTTTTTTTTACAGGTATAAAAAGGACTCGCGGACACGGTGCGATCGTCAAAATGACTCGCGGTCACGGCGTGATCGTTGGTATGACTCCCCGGTCACGGGTAGATCGTCGGTATGACTCGCGGTCGCGGCTAGATCGTCGGTATGACTCCGCGGTCACGGTGCGATCGTCGGAAGGACTCCGCGGTCACGGTGCGATCGTCGGTAGGACTCCGCGGTCACGGTGTGAGCGTCGGTATGACTCCGCGGTTACGGCATGATAGTCGGTATGACTCCGTGGTCACGGCGCGATCGTCGGTAGGACTCCACGGTCACGATGCGATCGTCGGTAGGACTCCGCGGTCACGGCGCGATCGTCGGTATGACTCTCGGTCACGGCGTGATCGTCGGTATGACTAGCGGTCACGGCGTGATCGTCGGTATGACTCCGCGGTTACGGCGTGATCGTCGGTATGACTCCGTGGTCACGGCGCGATCGTCGGTAGGACTCCGCGGTCACGGTGCGATCGTCGGTAGGACTCCGCGGTCAAGCATAATCGTCGGTATGACTCGCGGTCACGGCGTGATCGTCGGTATGACTAGCGGTCACGGCGCGATTGTCGGTAGGACTCCGTGGTCACGGTGCGGTCGTCGGTATGACTCCGCGATCACGGCGCGATCGTCGGTAGGACTCCGCGGTCACAGTGCGATCGTCGGTAGGACTCCGCGGTCACGGTGTGAGCATCGGTATGACTCAACGGTTACGGCATGATAGTCGGTATGACTTTGTGGTCACGGCGTGATCGTGGGTATGACTCCGCGGTCACAGGTAGATCGTCGGAATGACTCGCGGTCACGGCGTGATCGTTGGTATGACTCCGCGTGATCGTCGGTATGACTCCGCGGTCACGGGTAGATCGTCGGTATGACTCGCGGTCGCGGCTAGATCATCGGTATGACTCGCGGTCACGGCGTGATCGTCGGTATGACTAGCGGTCATGGCGTGATCGTCGGTATGACTCCGCGGTTACGGCATGATAGTCGGTATGACTCCGTGGTCACGGCGCGATCGTCGGTAGGACTCCGCGGTCACGGTGCGATCGTCGGTAGGACTCCGTGGTCAGGCATAATCGTCGGTAGGACTCCGTGGTCACGGTGCGGTCGTCGGTATGACTCCGCGATCACGGCGCGATCGTCGGTAGGACTCCGCGGTCACAGTGCGATCGTCGGTAGGACTCCGCGGTCACGGTGTGAGCATCGGTATGACTCAACGGTTACGGCATGATAGTCGGTATGACTTTGTGGTCACGGCGTGATCGTCGGTATGACTTTGTGGTCACGGCGTGACCGTCGGTATGACTCCGCGTGATCGTCGGTATGACTTTGTGGTCACAGCATGATCGTCGGTATGACTTTGTGGTCACGGCGTGATCGTTGGTATGATTCCGCGGTCACGGGTAGATCGTCGGAATGACTCCGCGGTCACAGGTAGATCGTCGGAATGACTCGCGGTCACGGCGTGATCGTTGGTATGACTCCGCGTGATCGTCGGTATGACTCCGCGGTCACGGGTAGATCGTCGGTATGACTCTATCTCTCTCTTACCTGTTTTTTCAAAAATTTTTGAACGCATTGTTTACATTCAGGTCTATAAATATCTGGAAAATAATCAACTATTTGATAAAGAACAACATGGCTTTCGGCAGGGCAAATCAACAATAACAGCTGGTATTGAATTCATAGAAACTATAATAAATGCTGTTGACAGAGGAGAAAATGTTGTAGGAATCTTTTTGGATCTTAGTAGGGCATTTGACAGCGTGTCACATAGTATATTGTTGACTTCACTAAAAGAAATGGGAATCTATGGAAAAGAGCTTGCATGGTTTACATCATATCTAGAAAACAGAAACCAATTTGTTGAACTGGATTATGTTGTGGAGCATGCAAACACAAAGTACGTTGAAAAATTTAGATCTCAGCATCAGACGCTGAAATATGGGGTGCCGCAGGGATCGATCCTGGGGCCTCTACTTTTTCTCTGCTATATTAGAGGTATGCCAGGAGCGATTCCTGGTAACGGCGGGTCTATGTGTCTGTTTGCTGATGATTGTAATGTGCTTATTCCCGGAAGATCAAAACAGCAGATAGAAACGTTTTCTCAGGAGAGTCTTTTATCCACTAAAGAATTCCTTGACCGAAAAAATCTCCTTATTAACACAGAAAAATCCAATTTTATATCATTTTCCACTAAACAACGTAGACAAAATTTTGAACCAAACATTTGCATAAAATCAGAAAGAATAAACCAAGTAAAGCAAACAAAATTTCTTGGTCTAATTATCGATAAACATCTATCTTGGGAGGGCCATGTGAACTATGTGGTTAAAAAGGTATCTTCCGGTATCCATGCGCTGCGACAGATGTTCAGAGTATGCAGTTTAGACACTTTAAGAGTTGTTTATTTCTCATTAATACATTCACATATTTCATATGGAATTGTTCTATACGGGGCAACAACAAAAACTAATTTAGATAAAGTACTAATTAAGCAGAAAAAAGCTATCAGGGTGATGAAAAATCTTAAAAAGAAAGAGCCAGTCAAGAGCATCTTTCGTGAATTACAAATATTAACAGTTTATAGTCTTTATATTTATGAAACAATAATTTATGCAAAACAGATCCAACTATCATCCAGCTCAACAGAACAATTAGTATATAACACCAGATTAAAAATTAACCTACCTCGGCATAATCTTGAATTTTACACTAAAAAGACATCTTACATAGGGCTAAAATTTCTCCAGTCTATACCAGCTCACATCCGAAAAGAAACAAAATTTAATAAATTCAAGAAGCTCTTAAAGGAATATTTTTTAAGAACTCCCTGCTACTCAGTAACAGAATTCTTTAGTATTAGTAAAAAACAGTTAGGCCTAACTTAATTTGAATTCCAAATACTGTTATCCTTAAAGTCATAGTTTTGTTAAAAGTTCAAGTAAAGTAATTTTAGTACTCTTTTTATGTATTTAATTAGCAGTAAGCAATTTTGAATTTAGCTTATGACTCTATTCAAGTTCATGTAATGTGAAACTATAATGAATAAAGAATGTTTTGACTTGACTTGACTTGACTCGCGGTCGCGGCTAGATCGTCGGTATGACTCGCGGTCACGGCGTGATCGTCGGTATGACTAGCGGTCACGGCGTGATCGTCGGTATGACTAGCGGTCACGGCGTGATCGTCGGTATGACTAGCGGTCACGGCGTGATCGTCGGTATGACTCGCGGTCACGGCGTGATCGTCGGTATGACTCGCGGTCACGGCGTGATCGTCGGTATGACTAGCGGTCACGGCGTGATCGTCGGTATGACTCCGCGGTTACGGCATGATAGTCGGTATGACTCCGTGGTCACGGCGCGATCGTCGGTAGGACTCCGCGGTCACGGTGCGATCGTCGGTAGGACTCCGTGGTCAGGCATAATCGTCGGTATGACTCCGCGGTTACGGCATGATAGTCGGTATGACTCCGTGGTCACGGCGCGATCGTCGGTAGGACTCCGCGGTCACGGCGCGATCGTCGAAATGTCTCCGCCTCCTGCGTTCGCGGAACTATCGTGAACATCTTTCGCGATAGCGGCGTCATCGTCGCTCGCGAAACGGCAAAATCACCGACGGTCGGACCAAATCCCGTCCCGAAAAATTCCCGATTCAAATGTAATCTTTTTTCAAAGGAAATCTTTTTTTTCATTGGCAGATTATTTTAAGGGCTGCTGGAATTAGGTATAAGTAAACCTTCACACTCCTGCTGGCTCAATATTTTTTTTTTTCAAAGGAAATCTTTTTTTTCATTGGCAGATTATTTTAAGGGCTGCTGGAATTAGGTATAAGTAAACCTTCACACTCCTGCTGGCTCAATTTTTTTGTCATGTAACAATGTTGTATTTTGGGAAGATTCAGTTGTTTTATGTAAATACAGATGTATTAGTTTTATCTATTAGTTTTAAGTCTTTATTTAACCATTGACAATATGTCCTGTTATTATAATGTAATGACATGTAACTCAATAAATAAATAAATAAATAAATAATCCCGTCCCGAAAATTGGGAATAATTTTTTCCCGTCCATCCCTAATAAGGTGTAATCACTGAGACTAATATTTCTGGTAATATACTATGGTAAAAATTACAATCATCCTTTAATTCTTTGGAGACTCCTGATTTTCATACTTGTCCTTAAAAAGGTTAAAAACTAAAATAAGTAAATTAATAAAAAATTTTCAAACATCGAAAATCTGTCATGAACATACACAGCTTTAAAACACTCTTCCACCATGTTTAGGGTTCCCCAGCCAAGCCGTGGTGTCTGCTTACTTACAGCCGAGAGTCGACGAGTCCAGAGAGCCATTCTCCTGGGGCTCCCCGGACCTTCCCGGATTGCGGGACTACGCTGAGAGAAGGTTTGGCTGGAGTAGGAGCAGAACCGATCAGATATTGCAGCCCGTCATCAACAGACTGTCTCAGAAATCTGTAAGTTTTGAGTTGTCATTTTTTTTTTTTTTTTTGTGAGATTAGAGGAAGAGCAATTTGGCTGGTTTACAAAATGAAATGCACATTTTGGTCTCGTTCTTGTACAAACCTATGACTAGATTAATTCAAATTTTATGTGAAAATGGTTCGCATTGTGGCTGTTCCTAGTTTTTTAATGCAGATACTAGTGTTTTCCAATACTGTTAAGATTAAGAGTCTGAAATTCAAGTGGTTAGAGTTCTCACTTTGTAATCTAAAGGAGTTTGGTTCTGGATTGATTCTGAAAATAAAATACCCCCGCCGCAGGAAACCTGCCAACTAAGCGAATTTCCATTCGTCTGAATTGATTTTCAGTTAAATATATTTTAATAACATTAAGTTTAACGAGTACCTAGGTTTGCTGCTACAAGGAAACTAATAAAGTGTGTTTTTGAGTAAAATATTGATAGCTTAGTACAAAATAAATAAATTTGCCAATTTTGATCAAAATATATCCATAAACAAGCAAACTACAACATTTGACAATATTCTCCGTTACTAATAATCGAACAAAAATACTTTTATATACTAAATTATTTGGTTTTTTAAGCTCTTTAAAAAGGTCTAAAGATAAATCGGGAAATTTTTTGTTTTGAGGGTCAAAAGTGAGAAAAACCAATTTTTACCCCATAAAACCCCCCGTAAAGCCCCGTTCCCATGGTCCGATCGTGCTGGTTCGCGAACTCATTCAAGTTTATCCCGCTTTACACCTTTAAACCAAATTTCATCAAAATCGGACAAAAATTACTCAAGTTATCGCGTTCACGGACGTATATATATATATATAAGTCTATATATATATATATATATCTAACAAAAAACCACTAAGTGGTAACACTTTCCCCGCCAAGTCAGCAATCCAAAAAAGATAATAAATCATTACTTTTTCCGCCAAGAAAAACAATGTAATGTATGTAAGTTTGGCAACTTGCCGGCAGACTTTTGCTCGATCACTTTAAAAATACCATAAAACTAGTTTCATTGAGCAAGTATCTCTCCCATTAGTACATTGCTAGGTGAGAGCTTATTTTACAAAACTTGACCTTATTTGTGCCACATTTCATAAAATCATAATAGTGATGGTTTTATATTTACTGATTACCTCGAAATTATTATACTTAGTTGGACTAATTAATTAGAGAAGTTGATTTGTGAAATTATCCACGAACGTAACTTAAATGAAAAAAAACCAAGCAAAAGTCTGCCGCCAAGTTGCCAAACTTACATACATTACATTGTTTTTCTTGGCGGAAAAAGTAATGATTTATTATCTTTTTTGGATTGCTGACTTGGCGGGGAAAGTGTTACCACTTAGTGGTTTTTTGTTAGATTTTATTTATTTTTGTAGAAAATTAACCGTTCAAATAAAAATACTCTTTTCTCTGAAAAAAAAAATAAATTTTAATGCTAAAGTTGACTGAACTCTCGATCTTCCGGTAGTCTTTGCAGAGGGTACCGGTTTTGTACTCTCATCCTGCACTTTTTTGACATTTTTGGTCTGGCACCACTTCCTGTCTCTCACATAAGGAGCCGAAGAGGAGTCACAACTTGTGTTGTAAAGTGGAAGGTCAGACCTGTACTTCTGCCTTAGTCTGTTGTATTCGAGAATGGCGGATTTCTGAGGCTTCACATCTCTTGGGTTAAAGTTAATAAGATGAAGCCCTTCTAATGAAGTCACTCGTGACAAGGCAACATATGATTGGCCACATGTAAATATGGACTCCCCAATATCAATTATTACGCTATTTAAGCTGAGGCCCTGGCATTTGTGAATTGTAACCGCGTAGGACATCGATATCGGGAATTGCTCTCGATACACAAATGCGTTATCCATAACTTGAAACTTGACGTTTACTCGCTGTAGGTGATGGGTAATGCCACAATCAAAGTTAATTGTCACTGAGTCTACGTCATCAGAATTGTCTGTATTAAACCTCAACCCCGTTACTGTTCCAATGGCGGAGTTAACTAGCCCCACAGTGACGTCAATGTTTCTAAGCAACATAACTTTAGCACCAACCTTAATAGGAATAATTTTCTCCATACCAGCCGTTCTGCTGCAGTCAGAGTTGTAAGAGGACAGTATCTTTTTAACTTTGTTTTGTTGACGAGGTAGACAGTCAACTGAGTCTTTTGCAACCAAGTTGCAAACAAGGACCACTTACAAACAAGGACTGTTGCAAATGTTGCAACAGGACCACTTATTCTATTGACCATTTCATCATTTATTATGGAGCATTGGTAACCAGTTGAACAAAGACACACAGAATTGTTGGGTAAAGCAGACAAGTAATCTCCTAATAGAGAAAGGTTTTCACAAGCAGTTTTTCCATTAAGATGTATTTTCTTGCTTTCAATTAGACGGATGTCCTCAACGGTCATATTGCCTACTCTGACTTTGCTTAACACATCAGCAAACTTAGAATCTTGAGCTTGTCGCATGTTTGTAGTAAGTTCATCATAAGAGAACTGTTCAGACCAGATGTTAACACAAGACAGAGAGCCAACAAAAGAACTAAGTTTGCTACTGTCAAGTTCAATGAATGGGGAGTCTTCGTGTACTGGTGGAAGTTGTAAAAGGTCTCCAAAGAGCAGTATATGTTTTTTACCAAACCAGCCGTTACTTTGGTCTGAGGTGTTGAATATTTCACACAATCTGAGATTTATGTACATCAATGTTAGATTGGAGACCATGGACACTTCGTCTATTATGAAGAGCACCACATCTTTCAGGTTGGATCTCAACATTTTTAAAACATCATCAGTAAGAGCTTTGTACTTTGGAGTTTTTCCATGCTCAACTGGCAGCTGAAACACTTTGTAGATCGTAGAACCATTGATGTTGTAAGCACTTAGTCCTGTGGGAGCTGATATTGATGTAGAGGCTTGAAGACATTTTTTAGTCCAAGAGCTGATAGTTTTTATGAGAAAACTCTTACCAGTACCTCCCACACCACTTACAAAATGTCTGAGAAATTTATCTGTCCCATCAGAGTTTGCAACAACTCGTTTGACATAATCAAACACTCTCTTTTGGTCGTCATTGAGTTTTTGGTATTTTTTCTCAAACGGCTCGTCATTCGGCGACCAATTGCTGTCCCTGACAGGCTGGGATGCGGGGACAGGTTCATTAAAGGGCTGAAAGGCTATATTGGATGGATCAGCAACCTCTCCTTCTTCTGCATTGATCTCTTCAACTCGGTTTTGAATTTTGTCTCTTGCATTCTCCGATGCCGCAATAATGTCTTTTAAACGTTTGTCATAGTTGAAGGCTTGAGTGAGAAGTGTCCGCTTGGCCATAAAAGCATCTGTGTATGTTTCATGAGACTCTTTCAGCTCATCAGTAGATCTCCAACAAAGAAACATAAGAAGTAATGCATGGTAGTATTTTTCAGGATCCTGAGTGGGGCTGTACTTATAGTGATTCAGTAAGCATGGTCTGACTCTTTTAGTGAGGAATTTGCCTGAATTCAACTTATGCACTTCACGGTCGCCTTTAGGTGGTTGAGCAGCTATATCGTACCATCTCACAAAGTCGTATAAGTTCATATCTTCTAGTTCGTCTGGTCTAGTTAGGTAGTGGTCATCAACCCACGACTCGTAGAATATGTTCGATATCTTTTACTGTTGTAACAAAGTAATAACTGCTGCTTCTACTGTTCTGTTAATAACAGCATGTACAAATTCTTTGAACCAATGGGCCATCTTTGATTTGATATTTGTTCATCATTGGCTGTTGTCCAACCTGAAGATGTCTTTATGGTACAAGTGTAATGCCCTCGTGATATTGCATCTCCGTGATGAAAAATTGCTGCTGTAGGTCTATATGTTTTATTACCTATAGTCACTTGAGCACTTGGGACTCCTACTATGTTTGTTGCGGTTATCTTTTGTAGGTTGTTGTCAAAGATTAAAAATTGTAAGATAACACAGCGGTTTGACTTTGTAACGTGTACCTTGCCCAGGCTCGATCCTCGTTGGCCGCATTCATCATTACTGCACACATAATCTAACAAGGGCTCCCAGTTGTTTATCGTAAGGCTTAAAAGATTTTTTAGCGTTACCTTACCAGCCACCACGGGGATTCTGATTATATTGTCTGTCTCTTCTTGCCCTGTGAATGTGTAATGACAGTGCTGGCATTTTGTGGTTTTCACCGTGCTGTATGAGATGGCTTCTATAATGCCCTTGTTTGTCTCCAATAAGTCCAGCAAGAACAAAGCACAGTCTTGCTGCTCTGTCAGGGTATATGTATTGTTGTTAGGGAGATTTCTTATAACCACTGTATCTAAAACAACCTCCGAGGGAGAAACTTCGTAATCATGAAGATGTTGTTTTAACTCAGGACAAATTAGTTCAGAGTTCTTTATTATCTCTCTGATGTACGGAACAGAATACAGTATCTGAACTGCAACATTCGCATAACAAGACACACGATCATTGTTCTCAAACCCTCTTAATGCTAAAGTTGACTGAACTCTCGATCTTCCGGTAGTCTTTGCAGAGGGTACCGGTTTTGTACTCTCATCCTGCACTTTTTCGACATTTTTGGTCTGGCACCACTTCCTGTCTCTCACATAAGGAGCCGAAGAGGAGTCACAACTTGTGTTGTAAAGTGGAAGGTCAGACCTGTACTTCTGCCTTAGTCTGTTGTATTCGAGAATGGCGGATTTCTGAGGCTTCACATCTCTTGGGTTAAAGTTAATAAGATGAAGCCCTTCTAATGAAGTCACTCGTGACAAGGCAACATATGATTGGCCACATGTAAATATGGACTCCCCAATATCAATTATTACGCTATTTAAGCTGAGGCCCTGGCATTTGTGAATTGTAACCGCGTAGGACATCGATATCGGGAATTGCTCTCGATACACAAATGCGTTATCCATAACTTGAAACTTGACGTTTACTCGCTGTAGGTGATGGGTAATGCCACAATCAAAGTTAATTGTCACTGAGTCTACGTCATCAGAATTGTCTGTATTAAACCTCAACCCCGTTACTGTTCCAATGGCGGAGTTAACTAGCCCCACAGTGACGTCAATGTTTCTAAGCAACATAACTTTAGCACCAACCTTAATAGGAATAATTTTCTCCATACCAGCCGTTCTGCTGCAGTCAGAGTTGTAAGAGGACAGTATCTTTTTAACTTTGTTTTGTTGACGAGGTAGACAGTCAACTGAGTCTTTTGCAACCAAGTTAACGACAGGACCACTTATTCTATTGACCATTTCATCATTTATTATGGAGCATTGGTAACCAGTTGAACAAAGACACACAGAATTGTTGGGTAAAGCAGACAAGTAATCTCCTAATAGAGAAAGGTTTTCACAAGCAGTTTTTCCATTAAGATGTATTTTCTTGCTTTCAATTAGACGGATGTCCTCAACGGTCATATTGCCTACTCTGACTTTGCTTAACACATCAGCAAACTTAGAATCTTGAGCTTGTCGCATGTTTGTAGTAAGTTCATCATAAGAGAACTGTTCAGACCAGATGTTAACACAAGACAGAGAGCCAACAAAAGAACTAAGTTTGCTACTGTCAAGTTCAATGAATGGGGAGTCTTCGTGTACTGGTGGAAGTTGTAAAAGGTCTCCAAAGAGCAGTATATGTTTTTTACCAAACCAGCCGTTACTTTGGTCTGAGGTGTTGAATATTTCACACAATCTGAGATTTATGTACATCAATGTTAGATTGGAGACCATGGACACTTCGTCTATTATGAAGAGCACCACATCTTTCAGGTTGGATCTCAACATTTTTAAAACATCATCAGTAAGAGCTTTGTACTTTGGAGTTTTTCCATGCTCAACTGGCAGCTGAAACACTTTGTAGATCGTAGAACCATTGATGTTGTAAGCACTTAGTCCTGTGGGAGCTGATATTGATGTAGAGGCTTGAAGACATTTTTTAGTCCAAGAGCTGATAGTTTTTATGAGAAAACTCTTACCAGTACCTCCCACACCACTTACAAAATGTCTGAGAAATTTATCTGTCCCATCAGAGTTTGCAACAACTCGTTTGACATAATCAAACACTCTCTTTTGGTCGTCATTGAGTTTTTGGTATTTTTTCTCAAACGGCTCGTCATTCGGCGACCAATTGCTGTCCCTGACAGGCTGGGATGCGGGGACAGGTTCATTAAAGGGCTGAAAGGCTATATTGGATGGATCAGCAACCTCTCCTTCTTCTGCATTGATCTCTTCAACTCGGTTTTGAATTTTGTCTCTTGCATTCTCCGATGCCGCAATAATGTCTTTTAAACGTTTGTCATAGTTGAAGGCTTGAGTGAGAAGTGTCCGCTTGGCCATAAAAGCATCTGTGTATGTTTCATGAGACTCTTTCAGCTCATCAGTAGATCTCCAACAAAGAAACATAAGAAGTAATGCATGGTAGTATTTTTCAGGATCCTGAGTGGGGCTGTACTTATAGTGATTCAGTAAGCATGGTCTGACTCTTTTAGTGAGGAATTTGCCTGAATTCAACTTATGCACTTCACGGTCGCCTTTAGGTGGTTGAGCAGCTATATCGTACCATCTCACAAAGTCGTATAAGTTCATATCTTCTAGTTCGTCTGGTCTAGTTAGGTAGTGGTCATCAACCCACGACTCGTAGAATATGTTCGATATCTTTTACTGTTGTAACAAAGTAATAACTGCTGCTTCT